CCACTGACGGATGGGGTGGGTGAGGCTGGGCAGTGCCACAGCCAGGCCCCAGGAAACACGCCCAGCTTTGGCTCTGCACCTGCCGCGGGAGGGCGCAGACACGTCCATGGCGTGTCCACGTGGGGCTCCTGTGGGGCTCCTGTGGGGCCGCACGCGGGATGGTGTGCGTCAACGAGCTCCAGGCTGGGGACCGCGCATTTGGCCTCCCTGCAGCCCGTGGCTCAGAGCTTTGCCTCTGAGCCCTTTCACCAGAATGGAAAGTAAAACTCGATTGGAAGACGCCGAGTGCTTTACGGGGTGAGAGGATGTGGGATTCCAGGCGTCATCCAAGTCTGAGCGTGGCCGTGGTGCCCCGTGGCCGGAGCGGCCTGCGGCGGGCGGGCCTAGAACAGAAGCGCGCCCATGCTGCCGACCTCGCTCTGCTCCTTGACGAAGATCTCGAAGTACTGGTAGATGATGGTGACTGCGAGCAGGATCCCGGTCCCGGAGCCGATGGCGCCCAGGAAGTCGGCCAGGACGGAGAGTGCCCCAATGCACAGCCCCCCGAAGGCTGCGGCCGTGGGGATGTACCTGGGCCGGGGAGGCACTGTCAGCTCCAGCCCTGGACCAGGCCGCGGGGAGGGGCTGGCAGGCTAATGGGTGCCCCCGGGGGCCCTCACTGCCTCCTGGACTTGCCAGCCTGAGTGGCCGGTGTGCTGTGACCACCCGACCAAGATGCTGAAGCCCGAGTTTAAGCAAGAAAGTGTGCTCTCCCTTCAGGGCCACGGCGGGGCGACTGATGGCCCGCAGGCTCAACAGGCCACGGCAAACCCACCCCTGAACTGTGCTATATGCTCTACATGACCACCAGTGTCCAAACCACAGGGCTGGACCCCACGCGGGGACCGGCAGATGCTGTGACCACTACGTCACTGACTCCCACATGGTAGATTTTGGTTTGTGTCCTGGACCTGGGGCTTACAACTCACACTGGGCGCGTGTGCATGTGCGCCCCATATCCCGAGATCCCCCGAGGAGAATGGAGGGGGGATTGTGGCTTGGCCACCCCCGAGGGACTTTCGTTCTGTCTCTCCGGTTAGTGTGCGCCTGCGCCCTATAGGAACAATCTGACGAGAGGGTGCCAAGCACCGGCCTGCCAGGGTCTGCCTTGCGTGTGCCCTCCCCGAGACAGAACGGGGGCGGGGAGAGCGCCGAAGGCTGTGGACCCTGCAATCCCTCCAGCTCCTCCCACCCTGCCGCCCGCATGGGCTTGGGCCCTGCCTGCCCTGGGCGAGGGCCAGGTGCACACTCCAGGGCGGCCGCGGCCAGGGGCACTCGTCAGCACCACCTGCGCCTGCTCAGGAGCCCGGGCTGTGAGGGCGGCGTGGGGCCTGGACAACCCATGCTGCTCATGCTGCCATTCTGCCCTCCCCACCCCTGCACGTGCTGGGGCCTCTCCTTCTTCCAGCCTTCTCCATCCTGATGGCTAGGGTGGTGCCACCCGGCCACAGGCGCCTCTAGCCAAGTTTCGCAGCAGCCCAGCAGGTCGTGGGCACACCACCCTGGTCACCACTCTGGTCTCCTTCCGCATGGACCACTCCCCACCCACCCCCTCCCAGAACCACAGGCCGAGCTCACGGGCCCTCCCGGTGGGGCCACTGCTGCCCTGCCCGGAGCCCTCGGAACCCCGGCACTCACCGGTTGAGCTCGTGCACCATGGAGGTCTCGCGGTGGCCCCGCATCACCATCTGCTGCTCCTTCAGCTGTTTGGCCACCTGCGGGACGCCACCCGGCACGGACACACGTTGGAGCGAGCACCGCATGTCCTGAGGCCTCGCCTGCTCCACCCCGCCCAAACAGTGCGGCCTCTGGCCCAGGCCCAGAGTGGCGCTAAGTGGCCTACAGCCCAGTGTGGTCTCGATCCTGTCACCTGCACAACCAGCACCCAGACCGCGTGCTGATGTGAAGTCACAGGTGGTACGTGCCCACGCTGGGCCACAGACCCTCCACACCCCTGATCCGCACCACGACCGTGAAGAGGTGGCACCTTGTCCCCTTGCACTGGGGAGCCCGCCCGCCCCCGGGGACCTGGCATACTCACGTCTTTGGCGGACGACCCAGAGACCTCGATCCAGGTCTTAGAGAAGAAGGCGCAGGAACCCAGCATGAACACAATGTACACGGCCGCGTGAACCGGGTCCTCGAGCACAGAGCCGAAGGACTCGGGAGGGGACAGGTAGTAGCACAGGCCGCCGACGGGGTAAGCGCGCGCAGGGCCCCCGGAGGAGGTGTCCTGGCAGGAAGAGCACCGTGAGCACAGCGTCCTGTGCTGACACCGGGCAGGGGCCCCGCGCTCCCACAGCCCCGCCCTTCTGACCAGGACGTCCACGCCTGTGGAGCACCGAGCCCGGGCAGAGCCAGCCGACGCACGGCTCACTTACAGACCAGGTGCCCAGCAGGCTGACCAGCAGGTTGCCGCTGAAGCGCGCCGACAGCATCTGGGAGATGACGTAGAGGTTGGACACCAGGGCCGACTGCAGGATGATGGGGATGTTGGAGGTGTAGAAGAGCTTGATGGGGTAGGTGTTGTACTGGCCGCGGTACCGCGCCGACTTGATGGGCAGGTCCACCCGGAAGCCCTGGGGAGACAACCACACGTGCTGGGCTGCTCTGGCCGCCGGCCACAGGGCCACGCGGCCGGCCACAGGGCCACGCGGCCGGCCACAGGGCCACCCTGGGCACGCCCCTTCCTGCCCTGCTGCTGCATGGGGGCATGCTCGGATCGTTCCAGAAAGACCAGTTTAGACCACGGTGGATGATAGTCGTGCGATCCTAGGTCGGCAGAGCCACACCTGTAACCCACAGCCACGTGGGGAAGGAGACCAGGACCTGAGGGGGCCTCTCTGGCCTGCAGAGCTCTCAGGCAGTACAGTGGCCCCAAGACAGGGTCACCAGTACCAGCTTCACGGCTGGGGACGGCTGGCTCGACCTCTGTGATCGCAAACAGAGCTACCGTCCCGTGAACACACCACTCTGAGCTCCTTGGCAAACAGCAAGCCTCCCTGTTGCCGTCCACTCCCCAGGGCCTGGGAGAGGACTCGGAATACGAGCCGAGTGCAGAGCCTCCCGACCCAGAAATCAGCAGGCCACCGGCCGGGCCCCACCTGCACATCTCAGCCAGGACACTGGCTGACCGACCCAGCCCTCAGGCCAAGCGTCTGGCTGTAAGAGCTGCTGCTCCCGAACGCGGACCTGCCCTCGAAACCAGGAGGCCCAGGGATGCACCAGGGAACAATCAGGGCGGTCCCTTCTGCAGCCATTTAAGGACGCCAGATCCCACACGGCTCAGCTGGTTGGAATCCCAGCCCCAGGGGATTGAAAAATGCACCCGAATCCCAACAGGGTAGAGAACCGAAGGAGTAAGGATTGTGGCCTGAGTGCGTTCCTCTGGGGCACCTTCTCCTCTCCACCCTCTGGCAGTTAAGAATAAAGGTCGGTCCACGCAGAGCACGGGGCAGTGTGGATACACGTCGTGGAGCCTGGCAACATCACGGTGAGGACTCCCGAGGGAAGGTCCCGCCTGCACGGCCCCGGGGCCATGGTGACACCACGGGGCTGTGGAGCCCTGGCACCTGCTTCCTGGGAGCAGAGGATGCAGAGACCTGCCCCCAGGTGTGCTGGGAACGGCTGTAGACAGGCGTGCTCTGAGCTTCCCTGCACCCTCCAGACTGGCTGGTCCTCTCCACAGGGACGGCGACATGTACAGCCCCTGGGTGAGGTGGAGCCCCCAGGGCACCCGGGACCCAGCCCCAGCTGTGACCGCCCGCGGGCTGCGCACCTGGAAGTAGATGACCACGGCGAAGACGAGGACGGTGGCGATGAGGTTCATGAGGTTGGGCAGGTTCTGGCGGTAGAAGGCCTCGCGCAGGGCTCGGACCTTGTCGGTGCGTGTGGCCAGCAGGTGGAACAGGGCGATGATGGCGCCCTCAAACTCCATTCCTGTGGGCAGAGGGGCGGAGTGTGCACGCGCGACGAGCGAGCCAACGGTCACCACGGAGAACGCGAGCGAGCAGGCTCCGAATCCCCACGGGGTGGGCCGGGCGCTGAGGGGCTCGGCTTTCATGGCCATCCTGGGAGGGTGCGCTGCTCAGCAGCTGGCTGCCCTG